ATGCGTTTTTCTAAGGTACATAAACTTTTGGGATTCACTGTATAGCCAAAACATCCTTAAATGAAATGATAAATTAATTCATATTTGTAAAACATCTACAAGCATTTGATATGCTTTTTACCGCATGTATAATACAGAACGAAACGTGAGAATTGAAAATGCAGAACTCATGTTGATTATGTTCAATTAGTGACAAAATGTGTAGTTCGCCTGTAGAGGAAGAGTATGAGATCTTCGAATAATTAGCTCGCGAAGCTACATCACCGGAGTCTGTACGAAAGTAAAAGTAGCGAGGACTGTTCGCCGTGCGCTGCGTGCACACGTGTGGTACGCGGTCTGGTCGCGTGAAATGCGAACGGTGGAAAGAGGACGCGACTCGCAACGCGTTTTTCCGACCTTTAAAATCGTGCAAACGCATTTCTAAAGTGGCACCGCGATGTTTGCTGAATGAACGCTTTCACCGCGCCAGCTTTCGAGGCATCGTGTACCGAGCGTGATGTAACCAGTTTCATGGGTTACGCGTTTCTGCCATAACACAGACCCGTTTTCAATCAACGTCAACCTGTTCCATGGCGATTACCTGACCGAACCAGTTGAAGTGGCAATTGGCGGCCTACGAATGAGAAGTGTAAGATCGATCGAAACGGGCAATTGAAAACCAGCAGTTTTTCCACCAAATTCCCACGGAAATTAAAAGTATAGGCTTGATAAGATAGATCGTCAATGTTACTTATTAAATTGGACAAAAACATGGGTTTACGGGAATACTACTTACTACACTACTTCAAACTCTTACACCCATTAAGAAATAACACTGAAACAACGCTCATTCAGACTTTTTGCTACGTCGCACGCAACCTATGTTCGTCTACGCAGTCGTGTTCGCAAATAAAGAAAATCATTGAGCTTCCGCTTTTTATTGTCTATCTATCCTACTATTAGATTCCAAGTACATGTACATGTCTAAACACGCAAACTCATTGAACTAACTACGTACGTGAAAGGGCTTAGTCCGTACATAAATAAAGTCAAATGAAATCGAGTTTTCTCCAAAGTGTACTAAAATTCCTCAACATTTATAAATATGATTTATATATACTGTCACGAATCTGTAAAAGCCTTCGCAAAGACCTTCAGCTATTCTTTATATATTTCACAGATGCTCAACGAATAAGTTCGGGTCTATATTGCTGCACTTGATTGGATATAATACTGGCTGTGCAAGTACCAGCAGCAGTTCGAAACGGGAACATTAATTGCCAACGCGGGTAAAGGGGACGGCACGAGGGAGGTAAACAACAAAGAATAAACGAGAAAAAAGAAAGAACATGAAAGAAATGAAATTGAACGTGTGATCGCGAATCGAGAAAGTAGAGTGCGACCTGCCCTTGATATGAAGAAGGAACAGTCTGTAAGCACGTCTCTGTAACAAATCCTGTGTAATCGCGTAACACTACAATGCGGCTAATTATCTGCATTAACGCTGGCGAGAGCTATGAATATTCATACTTGACATATTTATCGGCGCGCAGCGGGAAATTGGAGTCGTCATAACACGATTCTCCTTTTTGGCCCAACGCTCTCCGAATCAATACCGACCCGTGTCACGGTTAAGAAAATTAAAGGCTCTCCCTAGTGTAGGAGGTACACGTCTCCCCTAGTTGATATGTACACCGTCCCTCAAAAGTTCCGAGTACTCGCTCCGTACTATTTTTGTCAATAAATATAAATGTACCGTAATCGAAACTTCTAGTTTTAATTATATTTAATTGCAATATTAATACGATCATAGAGGACAACAGTTGAAGAATCAAAAACTTTGAGACATTGAAATAATACATATTTTTCAATAATTTTCCCGCTTCAGTGATATGACTAGATCACTAGATCGGTATATGCATGAATAAGTAGATACAGATGTTAGCAGTAAGACATAATCGGTTATGACACTCATGAAATTTAATTTTTTTGAAAAAATATTTTTTCTATCATTTGCTTCTAGATTATAATATGTAGATTATAATCATTTAAGCGACAGTACGAACAAAATAGTGCCTGTGACTGTAAATGGAGAAACAGAAAGGAGAGAAAGGGCGAAACATTTTCGCGCTCGAATGAGACGACTACTCTCGTAGCAGAACGACTTGTTTACCAAGTAATTAGATATTCCTGTCAGCTAAGAGCACTTTGACACGGATTCGCATGCTCCTAACGGTCTAAGAAAAAATATCTTAGCTGCTCAGTCGAAATACTACTTCTCTAACGTTCTTTACTATCTTACAACATTATCTCTGACCCACCGCGATTACCGACAAGTAAAAACGAACAAAGCAAACAAGACAAAAGTATAGAATGTAGAATCCAACGATTAAAAAAGATCAATTGTGAATTTCTTTTGCTCCTGTTTCTCTGTTCGCAAGTATTTTCTCATAAGTTGAAACGTAGTATCGTTCGCTAAGGGTCGACGCGATGTGACATGCAACGAGTTCATAAAGAAACGCTTGAAGGCTGTCTGTTCTAAATCTGAGGCGGACAGTGGAAACGGACGCAGAGGTACGACCACGTACGACTCGTTTGCGTCCTCACTACTGCAAAATGCCTGTTGCGTACGAGAACTATGAAATGGTGATTTTGTTTTTGAAAAATTGTGTATATCGTGTACTACCCCTTGTTTTCTAGCGATTCAAGTTGTCATAAATGGAGATAAACATAATAGTTCAATTAAAATAATACATGATATGTGATACGATATCAGATAACTTTATCGACTACATAGAACACTTGCCAAATAACTCAATATTATATACTTTGTTCTGAACAAACAATTGAATTCATTTACACTACTTTTATGTTTAATATAGGCATTTTGTGAAATACTATATGTTGTTAGTAAAGAATATTCTTCACATGATTAAATACTAAATATAAAACGTTAAGATATCCAGTACACAGTGATGAATGGCTATGAAAGATACCTGTGTATTCTTTATTCATGATGAAACAGAACTAAAGTATCCTATAATTACATAACTACGAATTGCGTTATACCAATACGTTTGGCATGAGAGCGCAAAGAAAATCACACGAATCTACTAATATTTGTAAAATTCAAATATTCTCTTGCAGATATATATATTTACTTTTTACCAACGCAGGGTGTCCGATGTTATTCGGTTACGGCATTTTACGTCTTATCTAATAGAAACTGTAATTTTCAAGCTACTTTGCATGCCCCCTTTTTAGCACTTACTAAATGTCCTATGGTTCATTGCTAGTGAAAATGTTCCTTGGAATTTTTAACGTTCTGTACGGAATGCTGTTTTATGTGCTTACTATATGCAGAGCGAAAAATTGAAACTCTGACTACGGTCTGGTCGGATATCTTTACGAATAACTGTTACAATATTAAATACGTTAACAGGCTTGGCAAGAGTAACGAGTGATATACATGTATATGTGTGTAGTTATTAAGCGGGTATCAATGAATGAGACTCGTTTTGCTCTTATGCGCTCTATTAGCAGACAGTCGCAAATAAAACCAAGTCGTTAATGTTTCCATTACAACTATTCATAATACAATTGTTACCAATGCGTAAGCGTAGGGAAGGTATCGTAGATGATGTACGAAACGTGAAGATTATTTGTAAGTACATGTCGCGACAACGAGGAAGAGTAAGATCGTGTACAAGTACATACTTTTGTACCTGTAACTTCGGAAGTGGACCGAGTCGGACGAGCGAATGTGCAAAGAGAATAAGAGCTGGCGTAACAGAGAAAGATAGAGCTGATAAGTGCGAGAGAGTGAGGGAACGAAAGAGAAAGAGAGAGAGAAGATTAGGCAACGTGCGCAGCATGATTAAGAAAAGGATGGTAGAAAGGATAAAAGACAACGTTGCACATGCTCGAAACGAATGAGACAGAGACAAGTTAAAAGTGAAAGCTAGAAAGAGAAACGATGAAGAGCGAGAGTGAAGCACGAGACGAAAAAAGAAAGATGCTTCGGCAAATGGCTATGACATCAAAAGCAACAAAGAACTTGAAAGCATTGAAATGAGAGGTTGAGGTTACCTGATGCATCGTTCGTTGGAAGATCGGTAACCACGTTGACCCGTGGCCGTGCATGTGATTGCTGATCCTGCTGCTGTTGCTCCTGCTGCTGAGGTTGCTGCTGCTCTTGCTGTTGCTGTTGTTCCTGTTGAACCTGTTGCACCTGATGAAGAGTTTGTTGTTGAGAGTCTGTCACAGGTACATTAGCGGCAGTGTTGTTTTCGATCAGGATAGTTGGTACCGAGGAAGAGGAGGAGGACGACGATGATTCCGTAAGGGCCGTCGTGGTGGTGTTCTCGAGGGCCGCGTGGCCCCCACCGTCCCCTGTCCCCATAGTCATTCGGCCCTCGTGCATTCCAACAGACAGACAGACGGGGGTCCCTCCTCTTGCACGCCTTTCCTGAGCACACGCACTTCTCTCTCGAAATACTTACACTCTCTTATGCGTCGCTCGCTCTCTTTCTCACCCCCGTCTATCTATCTGTCTCCGTTCCTTTTTCTGTCTGACAGACAGCAGAGCGCGATCGTTTCGTTCTTTCCTTTTCTTTTTCCCTCTCTCTCTCTCTCTTTCCTTCGCTCGTATCCCCGTATACGTCTACGTCTGTTCTGTCTCTCTCCTCTATGTCTCTATCCTTTTCTTTCTCCTCCTAGTGTGCGCGCGCTCTCGCTGTCCTCCTCTCTTTTTACTACTACGCTCCCCGCGCCGGCCAGAGCTGCTTGAGCGTACCGAAACTACACACCGTCTCTTTCAACCGAACATCGGTATATCACACGACAGCGACATCACACACAGTCGCGAAAAAATGAGCCCCGCATGGATTATTAACCTCCCGTCCGGCGGTTCGAAAAAAATCGAACGTTAGACAAATGTAGGTCTGTAGGCCACTTCACTTACACTTTGCATTGGGACGGGCACTCCCTTAGTCAAGCGAGAGTCTGGCGCACAGTTGCGTTCTGACAACACGAGTTCCAGGGATGTGCACTTGGTACCGGTACCCAACACTGATCTGATCTACTGGTACCACACGCCGAAATCGCGATA